ACATGGATGAACCTGGAAACCATCATTCTCAGCAAACTGACACAAGAGCAGAAGATCAAACACCACATGTTCTCACTCATAGGCGGGTATTGAACAATGAGAACACATGGACACAGGGAGGGGAGCACTACACACTGGGGTCAGTTGGGGGGAAATAGGGGAGGGACGGTGGGGGGTTGGAAGCTGGGGAGAGAGAGCAAGGGGAGAAATGCCAGATGTAGGTGATGGGGAGGAAGGCAGCAAATCACACTGCCACGTGTGTTCCTATGCAACAATTTTGCATGTTCTTCACATGTACCCCAAAACCTAAAATGCAATAAAATAAATAAATGGGGAAAAAAAAATCTGGAGACAACAGATGCTGGAGAGGATGTGGAGAAATAGGAACACTTTTACACTGTTGGTGGGAGTGTAAATTAGTTCAACCATTGTGGAAGACAGTGTGGCGATTCCTCAAGGACCTAGAAATAGAAATTCCATTTGACCCAGCAATGCCATTACTGGGTATATATCCAAAGGATTACAAATCGTTCTACTATAAGGACACGTGCACATGAACGTTCATTGCAGCACTGTTTACAATAGCAAAGACCTGGAACCAACCCAAATGCCCATCGACGATAGACTGGATAGGGAAAATGTGGCACATATACACCATGGAATATTATGCAGCCATCAAAAACGATGAGTTTGTGTCCTTTGTAGGGACATGGATGAACCTGGAAACCATCATTCTCAGCAAACTGATAGAAGAACAGAAGATCAAACACTGCATGTTCTCACTCATAGGCGGGTGTTGAACAATGAGAACACATGGACACAGGGAAGGGAGCACTGCACACTGGGGTCAGTTGGGGGGAAATAGGGGAGGGACGATAGGGGGTGGGGAGCTGGGGAGGGATAGCAAGGGGAGAAATGCCAGGTGATGGGGAGGAAGGCAGCAAATCACACTGCCACGTGTGTACCTATGTAACAATTTTGCATGTTCTTCACATGTACCCCAAAACCTAAAATGCAATAAAATAAATAAATGGGGAAGAAAAAAATAAATAAAATGAACTTACAATCATGGAAGAAGGCAAAGAGTAAGAGGAGGAGGGGGAGGCCAGAGGAGGAGAAAGATAGTGAGGGGTAAGATACCACACACTTTTAAACAACCAGTTCTAATGAGAACTCACTATCATTAGAACAGCAAGAGGTAAATCCACCCCCATGATCCAGTCACCTCTGACCAGTCCCTTTCTCAAACATTGAGGATTATAATTTGACCTAAGATTTGGCTGAGGACGCAAATCCAAACCATATTCTTCTGCCCTGGCCCATTCCAAGTCTCATGTCCTTCTCACATTGCAAAATATAATCATTCCTTCTCAACAGTCCCCCAAAGTCTTAACTCATTTCAGCATTAACTCAAAAGTTCATAGTCCAAAGTCTCATCTGAGAGAAGGCAAGTTAAGTCCCTTCCACCTATGAGCCCATAAAATAAAAAACAAATTAGTTACTTCCAAAAGAAATGTGAGATTAGAGTTATGGGAGCAGGTAGATTGCTGCCTGAAAAGAGGCTATGAGCAAGATCATTTTACTAATGTCACTATTTTGACCACCAGGGCACTGGCACGCTCTGTGTGGTATCCTTTTTATCTACCAGGTTGCAGTGAGTCACATCACCCATCTTCTCCCCCTGAAGAGAATTCAGGAGATTTAAAGGACAAGGAAAAACAGAAACCAGAACAACAGGGAGAGACTTCTCTCCCCACTTAATTCCCTTCTACAGGGAAAAGAGAAGATTTTTTTTTCTAATGAGGCTAAGGACTGACTGTAGCCTTTTCCTCCCCCTATAGAAAAGCCATTGCCCTCCTTTCCTTCACCGGTAAAGGGACCTGCATCTGTTGGCCCCATTTAGGTAACAGCACCTCCCATCACCCCTTAGGAGACTGTAGGCTGCCCAAGGGACAGTTCTTGGATAAGACTCTCAGTAAGCAAACATCTGTATGATCACCTGGCCACATTCCCTTCACAAGCTTCCCTGCTGGAGGGCTGCCTCCAGGAGGGAAGGAAAGTGGCTGGTTATGCAAATTCTTACTCCCGACTTCCAGTATCGGCCTTTCTAGCCTTGTGCTTTTTCTATTTCCCTGGCGTACAGGGGAAAGCTGCATGCTGCCGCCTGGGTTTTATCCCAGAAAGCTCTGGCTTTCTTGCTGCCCACAGAGGCCCAGGGCAGGAGAGTTGCTAAGATGCCATGGAGTGTCCATTAGGTCTCTGACAGTCTAGACAAGCTGCCCCTTTCTGGGTTTGTGGTGATGGAGGGGAGTCCTCAGGTGGCTGCAGGCAGCCTGAGGATCCTCCTCGCCATGGTCACGTGCCTTAGTAACTGTGCCCAGAAAGCGGCCTGCTGCCTGCTGCGCTGCTGCTTTTCCTACTTCTGCCCTTCCCTGCCACCCCTCGCATGTCTCAGCTGACAAGCAATTCCTTGTCTTCCCTGCCCCCCAGGTAAAGGTCTAAGAAACAGTCCATGCGCAACCCCGATTTTACCAGCCTAAGGTGGGCAGAGGGGTGTGAAGCAGCCTAGAGTACAGAGCTCTGGGGGGGAAGCCCGCTAATGAGGGGCGCTCTCCCATAGCCATATGTTAAATGCTCACTAGGCTGAGGTGGGCGAGCTCTGCCAGCTGCTGTCACCGTCAGAAGATAGTCGCACCAGTGAGGAATGTTTGTTTCATTATTTTGTAAAATGTTTACAACACACTGTGGCTGGGAAACTCCAAAGCAGACCCTGTGCTGCATGTCTGCTCCTCCCCTGAGCCTCTCTGCTTAAGGGTAGTAAAAATAGTAATAAAAGCCTAGTAAATTTTTAGTACCTTACCTGACAGGGTTGGCTCCAGGCGTAGGTGGTCTGGAGGATGAGGAGACGGCTTCTCCCAGCCCGTTACCCTCTCTCCTCCTGCCTCCGTGATTACACACGCACCTTACCACCTGCTCATATTCTCGCCTGTTTCAGCCACTTATAGTCTTCCTTCCTCTGAGGGCAAGAGTAGCAACAGGTGGCAGGCTGTTAGAAAGAGAAGCTGCCTAAGGAGCCTGGAGCAGATGGGACGAAACCGGCCACAGCCCTACTTTCCCGAGCTCACTTCTAAGACATTTCAGCTAAGAGCTAATGCAAGAAAATGGCCAGCGCTTAAATACATTTTTTAAAGTTTTTTATTTCTTTTGCATATGTAAGCTAACTCAATGCATGTTTATTTTTTTGGCGACTTGTAGTCACGTTCTAATAACTTTCTAAGATCAGAAAATATGGTAAAAATTATTTAAAATACTCATCCCTTCCATGCCTTAGTTTAGCAGGTAGGCTTTATCTTTTGACATTTCTGTATTTTATGTGCTATTTACCTGTCTCATAATCCCTCTAAACATATACAAAAAAACACAGATTTAATAGCTTCTCTTCTCATAAAGGGATGCCAACGTTGTGTTGAATTATCAAGATATAACCCTGCTATTCTTTTCCTACCATTAAGCAAGGAACTATTTTGTACTCTCTTAGCTTGTGATCTTGACTGGCAAGTAGCAATGGCTGACTTTATTGGTAATATCAGCTTTCATATACCAGCCTTTAAGCTCCTAAGCTTTTTGCAAATTGTGCCTGTTAAATTTGTATCTATTCTGTCTCTAAGCCCTTACTTCATGTTGCCGGTCTTTATAGATGGTTCAGTAAAAACTGAAAAGACAGCTATAGTGTGGCAAGATGCCCTGCAAAATTGGCAACACAAAATCCAGAACATTTTAAAACTATGCAACAGGCAGAGTGCCCTAATATTGGCCTTACAAACTTTTCCTCACCAAGACATAAATATAGTTAGTGATTCCACATATGCGGTGTATAACATTATTTATTTAGATCTTGCACATGTGAAGGGCATTACTAATGAATGTTTACTAACATTGTTTCTCTCAGTGCAAGAGCTCCTCTGTGCCTGTCGTCACCATCTTTACATCACATATATTCACTCTCATTGTAGGTTACCTTATCAGGAGGGAATGCTCAAGCTGATGCTCTGGTGTGATCACAGATGTGATGTGCAGACTTTCTACAGTTTTTGCAAGCTCAAGCTGATCACACTTCTTTTCATCAGAATGCCCGCAGCCTTAAACAACAGTTTCATTTGACACTTGCACAAGCTCGCATGATTATTAAGACTTGTTCCGATTGCCAAAAGCATTTTCTCTCTCCTTCTTCCTTAGGACTTGGGGCCAGCCCACGAGGTCTGGTGCCTAATGCTATCTGGCAAACTGATGTTATTCAGTATCCACCTTTTATACGTTTCAAATTTATCCACATTACCATGGACACTTATACAGGTTTAATACATGCTACTTCCCAAACCAGAGAAAAAAACTAAAGATAATTGCACATTTGTTTAAATATATTATAACTTTATGCCTTCCACAAACTATAAAAATGAATAATCGATATTACTATCTTAGTGTTCAGCTTATATATGCATTGCAACTTTAACACATATAACACAAAACTGGTATGTCCTATATCTCAACCAGTTAGACCATTATTGAATGAACTTATCAAACTCTTACAGTATATCTTAGTAAACGAAAAAGAAGGAATATAGGGCTCTCTCCTTGAGAACAGGACCTGTCATTGGAGAATCAGCCAGCAATGATGGTAATGACTCAGAAGGCACCTGACATTACCTGAGGACAGCTAAAGAGATTGGATCAACAAGCAACTATCCAGCTTTCTGCCAGGGGAGCCCCTGCAACTGCAGAAAACTGGTTTATTATGTATCTGGCAGTAATTGGGGAAGCTTCTGAGAAAGTAAGACAAACATGGTTGTTGGGGTGGCTGGTAATTCTTGTCCATTGCCAAGTGGGATCAGCTAAAGAATATGTTTATTGGAGTCATGTTCTAAATCCGCCTGTTTTTAATGTTATTACATGGTGGGATGCTGACTCGCCTTTGTCATCTAATGATACTTCTTGGACAAAAGGATGATGGATGCCCTATCTTACCCCTTAACTGAAAATTGGATACAAATTAAACTTAATGACTTCTTGACTTTACTGTATAGTAATCTCTCTCTTTGTTTTTCCACAGTAACACATGGTAAGTGGTTTACTCTCGTTTCCCGGGAGTATCTTTACTATTAGTGCAAAAGGGACAGTAAGTTTATACATTTGACCTTTATTTCTGCTCTTACCACTAATCTTACTGAGGTCTCTAATGAAGCTGCACACGTGCCTGGTCTTCTGCTATGCAGTCCGAGTAGGGACTGGAGATAGAAGTTTGAGGCCATCCGTTCATCTCTATGCAGACAACCTGTGCAGCGCCAAGGGCCTCTGTTTAATAATGGCACCTTACTTGATTGGGGTCCTCGTGGTTATCTTATGTCTGCAAATCAGACTAGGGTTTGGGAGTCGCTCCAATAGTTTTATTGCCTGGTCAGAGTATGGGCTTTCAGGATCAATACTATATCTAAAAGGAAAACAAGCTTTAAGCCCTGATCATACCCCATTTGGAGACTAGGTCTTCCTTTTCCGAATAGGTTCCCTCAAATGCTGAGTACATTACTAGTGATGGCAACTACACCTTCTTTTGCACAATAATGTTACTGACACAGTCTTGATTAGTACTACTCACCCTTATATGCTTCTGTTTGGGCAAGGTGTTCCTAACATAGAGCAGAATCTATCCTTTTATAGTATTAATGTGTCTTCCAGTAGCTGGTATGCTACATCCTTGTCTCATCAAAATGTCGTACAGTTAAATATAACCTATGTCATGATCTTAATACAGTAAGCAGGATTGTGTCTCCCTGTAAATTTAACCCAGAACTGGGAAGGAAATTCCACCTGGCAGTAATTTAGAAAAGCACATCTGCAAGGGGATTATCACAACCATTTGTCTTCTCATATTTCCACTCTTGAGTGTGAATTAAAGAAACAACTTGAAGAATGGTTGCAGTAATTACAAATGCCCTTCAGCAATTACAAGAAGGCTTTCAATGGTTAAATCCAAATATTTGGTTGTCTGGGTTAAACATGCACATTTGGTTGATGGCCGCTACACTTACTCTTTTTTATATCTGCAGATGGCTTTGTGCTATCACCTGATGTATCTATGACCAGAGAAGAACAATAGAAGTTTACCTTGCATTAAATAACCAGTACGCTCTAAGAATTAAAGAAGGGGGAGGTGTGGGGAAATGGCGCATGGCAACATATTCAAGCTTATGAACATGGCATTTGAGGTTGGGGTATAGGAAATTACTGAGGCACTATATATGTTATTTGTGCATGGAAATTAAATTCCTTGACCCTGAAAACAGGACATAGATGGAGTGTGTGGTGTGATAAGGAAAGCTAAAAACAGCCTCCTGAAAATGCAGTTTGAGTATGTACAAGGTCACAAGTGCCTCAGCGACCCACGAGTATGTACAAGGTCACAAGTGCCTCAGCGACCCACCTCAAATAACCATCTAGTGGAGGTTTGATACAAGCCCTTTCAATAAACACTTTGTGGACAGATGCTGGGGTGGGAACTCTCAGAAGAGCTACCCCCTAGCCCCGCTCAGCTGGAATTGTCTTTCAGTACTTTGTTCTTGGCATTCACTGCAAGCTATAAGTCTGCGATTGGTTCCCTACAAAGAATAAATGAGAAAGTGGTAGAAAAAAAGAAGAAATGGAAATAAGCTGGATGGAGAGTGAGTGATACTTCTCTGAGTGTACCATTAAGAACTCAGTTTCTTTTACAATAGCTGCAAAAATAAAATACCTGGGAATATACTTAACCAAGGAGGTTAAGTACCTACAAGAAGAACTACAAAATACTGCTGAAAGAAATCATGGATGACAGAAAAGGGAACACATCCAATGCTGATAGCCTGAAAGAATCAATATTGTGAAAATGACCATACTGCCCAAAAAAAGTCTACATATTCAATGCAATTCTTATTAAAATACCAACATCATTTTTCACAGAATATTTTTAAAAAGTCCTAAAACTCATACTGAACCAAAAAGAGCCCAAATAGCCAAAGTATTCTTAAGCATAAGGAACAACTGAGGCATTACATTACTTCATTATTTCTTGATGTATCACATTACCTGACTTCAGATTATAATACAAGGCTGTAGTTACTAAAACAGCATGGTGCTGATATAAAAGCAGACAATAGACCAATGGGAAAAAACAGGGAACCTAGAAATAAAGCCAAATACTTAAAACCAGCTGATTTTTTACAAAGCATACAAAAAAAAAAAACTGAGAAAAGGACAATCTATTTAATAAATAGTGCTAGGAAAACTAGATAGTCACATGTAGAAGAATGAAACTAGATCCCCATCTTTTCACCTTATACAAAAATCAACTCAAGATAATCAAAACCTTAAATCTAAAACCTGAAACCCTAATTCCAGAAGATAACTTAGGAAAAACTCTTCTGGACATTGGCCCAGGCAAAGAATTCATGATTATGAACCCATAAGAAAATGCAACAAAAACAAAAATAATAAATAGGACATAATTGAACTAAAAAGCTTCTGTATGGCAAAAGAGATAAGAAGCAGAGAAAGCAGGCAATGTACAGAATAGGAGAAAATATTTGCAAACTATGCATCTGATAAAGGACTAATATCCAGAATCTACAAACAACTAAAATAAATCAGCAGGAAAAAGATAACTAATCCCATCAAAAAGTAGGCAAATGAGATGAACATGCATTTCTCAAAAAAAAAATTACACACACACACACACAAACACACACACACACACACACACACACACATACAAATGACCAACAAATACATGAAAAAATACTTAACATCACTAATCATCAGGGAAATGCAAACTAAAACCACAGTGAACTGCCACCTTACTATTGCAAGCATAGCCATTATTAAAATGTCAAAAAAAAAAAAAAACAACAGATGTTGGTGTGGTTGTGGTGAAAAGATAATGCTTGTACACTTCTGGTGGTAATGTAAATTAGTACAAACTCTGTGAAAAATAGTATGTAGATTTCTGAAAGAACACTAAGCAGATATACCATTTGATCTAGCAATCCCACTACTGTTATCAACCCAAAGGAAAATAAGTCATTATGTAAAAAAGATACCTGCATGTGTAGGTCTACTAGAGCACAATTGCAAATATATAGAACCAACTTATATGCCCATCAACAAATGAGTGGATAAGAAAAGGTGGTATAGCATTCCTATAAACTAATAATGGAATAACGGAGAGCTAAATCAAGAATGAACTGCCATTCACAATTGCTACAAAGAGAATAAAATACCTAGGAATACAACAAAGGATGTAAAGGACCTCTTCAAGGAGAACTACAAACCACTGCTCAAGGAAATAAGAGAGGACACAAACAAATGGAAAAACATTCCATGCTTATGATTGGGAAGAATCAATATTGTGAAAATGGCCATACTGCCCAAAGTACTTTATAGATTCAACACAATCCCCATCAAGCTAGCAATGACCTTCTTCACAGAACTGGAAAAAAACACCTTAAACTTCATATGTAACCAAAAGAGAGCTTGCATAGCCAAGACAATCCTAAGCAAAAAGAACAAAGCTGGAGGCATCACACTACCTGACTTCAAACTATACTACAAGACTACAGTAATCAAAACACCATGGGACTGGTACCAAAACAGAGATATGGACCAATGGAACAGAACAGAGGCCTCAGAGGCAATGCCATACATCTACAACCATCTGATATTTGACAAACCTGACAAAAACAAGCAATGGGGAAAGGATTCCCTGTTTAATAAACGGAGTTGGAAAAACTGGCTAGCCATGTACAGAATGCAGAAATTGGACCCCTTCCTGACACCTTACATTAAAATTAACTTCAGATGGATTAAAGACTTAAACATAAGGCCTAACACTATAAAAACCCTAGAAGAAAACCTAGGCCAAACCATTCAGGACATAGGCATAGGGAAGGACTTCATGACTAAAACACCAAAAGCACTAGCAACGAAAGCCAAAATAGACAAATAGGATCTAATTAAACTCCAAAGCTTCTGTACTGAAAAAGAAACAATCATTACAGTGAACCGGCAACCAACGGAATGGGAAAAAAATTTTGCGATCGACCCATCTCACAAAGGGCTAATATCCAGAATCTACAAAGAACTAAAACAGATTTACAAGAAAAAAACAAACAAATCCATTCAAAAGTGGGTGAAGGATATGAACAGACACATTTCAAAAGAAGACATATATGAGGCCAATGAACATAAGAAAAAATGCTCATCATCACTGGTTATTAGAGAAATGCAAATCAAAACCACATTGAGATACCATGTCATGCCAGTTAGAATGGTGATCATCAAAAAATCTGGAGAGAACAGATGCTGGAGTGGATGTGGAAAAATAGGAACACTTTTACACTGTTGGTGGGAGTGTAAACTAGTTCGACCATTGTAGAAGACTGTGGCAATTCCTCAAGGATCTAGAAATAGAAATTCCATTTGACCCAGCAATCCCATTACTGGGTATATATCCAAAGGATTATAAATTGTTCTGTTATAAAGACACATGCACACATACGTTCATTGAGGCACACTTTACAACAGCAAAGACCTAGAACCAACACAAATGGTTCCAACTCATCGATGATAGACTGGACAAGGAAAATGTGGCACATATATACCATGGAATACTATACAGCCACAAGAAAGAATGAGTTTGTGTCCTTTGCAGGGACATGGATGAATCTGGAAACCATCATTCTCAGCAAACTGACACAAGAATAGAAAATCAAACACCACATGTTCTCACTCATAGGCATGTGTTGAACAATGAGAACACATGGACATAGGGAGGGGAGCATCACACATTGGGGTCTGTTGGGACTAGTAGAGGGACAGTGGGGGGTGGGGAGATGGGGGAGAGATAACATAGGGAGAAATGCCAGATATAGGTGACAGGGGGATGGAGGCAGCAAACCACCTTGCCATGTATGCACCTATGCAACAATCCTGCATGATCTGCACATGTACCCCAGAAGTTAAAGTACAATTTAAAAAAAGGCAGTATATATACGCTATGGAATACTACACAGCCATAAGAAAAAATTAAATAATGTCTTTGCAGCAACTTGGATGGAGCTGGAAACCATTATTTCAAGTGAAGTAACTCAGGAATGTTAAGCCAAATACCATATGTTCTCAATTATAAGTGGGAACTAAGCTATGGGTATGCAAAGGCATTCAGAATGATATAATGGACTGTGGAGACTCAGAAGGGAGAGGGTGGGAATGGGGGTAATGGATAAAAAATTACATATTGCGTACAGTGTCTCATACTTTGGTGATGTTTTGGTGATGGGTGATATGGTTTGACTCTGTGTCCCCACCCAAATCTCATATTGAATTGTAATTCCCAATGTTGGGGGAGGGACCTGGTTGGATGTGATTGGATTATAGGGGCTGATCTTTCCTATTCTGTTCTTATGATAGGGAGTGAGTTCTTATGAGATCTGATTGTTTCAAAGTGTGTGGCACTTCCCTCCTTATTCTCTGTCTCCCCTGCCACCATATGAAGAAGGTCCTTGCTTCCCCTTTGCCTTCCACCATGATTGTAAGCTTCCTGAGGCCTCCCAGTAATGCTTCCTGTGTGAGTCAATTAAACCTCTTCTCTTCACAAATTACCTAGTCTCAGGTAGTTCTGTATTGCAATGTGAAAACAGACTAATACAGAAAATTGGTATCAGGAATGTAGGGCATCACTATGAAGACACCTGAAAATGTGGAAGCAACTTCGGAACTGAGTAATGGGCAGAGGTTGGAACAGTGTGGAGGGCTCAGAAGACAGGAAAAGGTGGGAAAGTTTGGAACTTCCTAGATACTTGTTGAATGGTTTTGACAAAAATGCTGACAGGGATATGGACAATGAAGTCAAGGCTGATGTGGTCTCAGATGGAGATGAGGAACTTATTAGGAACTGAAGTAAAGTTCACTCTTGCTGTGCTTTAGGAAAGAGGCTGGCAGTATTTTTCCCATACCCTAGACTAGATTTGTTAAGCTTTGAACTTGAGAGAGATGATTTGGGGTATCTGGCAGAAGAAATGGATAAGCAGCAAATTATTCAAGACGTGACTTGGCTGTTTCTAAAATCATACACTGATATGTGTGAACAAATCAATGGTCTGAAATTTGAACTTTGAAAGGGAAGCAGAAAATAAAAGTTTGGGATATTTGCAGCCTAACTATGTGGTAGAAAAGATAAAACCATTTTGTGGGAAAAAATTCAAGCCAGCTGCAGAAATTTGTATAAGTAACAAGAAGCTGAATGTTAATAGCCAAGACAATGAGGAAAATGTCTCCAGGGTATTTCAGAAACTTTCATGGCAGCCTCTCCTATTCCAGGCCTGAATGCCTAGGAAAGAAAGATGGTTTTGTGGGTTGGGCCCAGGGCCTCGCTGCTCTGTACAGCCTTGGTACATGGTGCCGTGCATCCCAGCAGCTCTATCTCCAGCCATGGCTAAAAGAGGCAAATATACAGCTTAGATTATGTCTTCAGAGGGTGCAAACCTCAAGCCTTGGTGACTTCTGTCCTTTGAAGTGTGCTGTTGGGCCTGTGGATTTATAGAACACGAGAGTTGAGGTTTGGGAACTTCAGTCTAAATTTCAGAGGATGCATGGAAACACCTGGATGTCCAGGCCAGGATTCCACCACAGGAGCAGAGCCCTCAGAGAAAACTTCTTATTAGCGCAGTGTGGAGGTGAAGTGTGGGTTTGAAGCCTTCATACTTACTCCCCACTGGGACACTGCCTGGTGGTGCTATGAGACAAGAACCAGTGTCCTCCAGACCCCAGGATGGTATATCCGCCAACAGCTGGCACTGTGTGCATGGTAAAGCCACAGACACTCAATGCCAGCCTGTGAACACAGCTGCAGGCACTGGGCCCTCTAGAGCCACAAAGGCACAGCTGCCCAAGGCCTTGGGAACACACCCCCTGCATCAGCCTAACTGGTTGTGAGACATGGAGTCAAAGGAGATTATTTCTGAGCTTTAAGATGTAATGGCTGCCCTGCTGGGTTTTTGACTAGCATGGGACCTGTAGCCCCTTTATTTTGGCCAATTTCTCCCATTTGGAACAGGATCATTTACCCAATGCCTGTACCTTCATTGTATCTTGGAAATAATGAATATTTTTTTATTTTACAGGCCCATAGGTGAAAGGGATTTGCCTTGTATCAGATGAGACTATGGACTTGGACTTCTGGGTTAATTTTGGAAAGAGATAAGACTTTGAAGGACTGTTGGGAAAGCATGATTCTATTTTGAACTGTGAGAGAGACATGAGATTTGGGAGGAACCAGTGATGGAATGATATGTTTTGGCTGTGTGCCCACCCAAATCTAATGTTAAATTGTAATTCCCACTGTTGGGGAGGGACCTGGGTGGAGGTGATTGGATCATAGAGATGGATTTCCTCCCAGGCTTTTCTCATGATAATGGGTGATTTCTCATGAGATCTGTTGGTTTAAAATTGTGCAGCACTTCCCCCCTCACTCTCTCTTCTGCCACCATGTGAAGAAGGTTCTTGTTTCCCCTTCACTTTCTGCCACAATTGTAAGTTTCCTGAGGCCCCTAGTCATGCTTTCTGTTAAGCCCAAGGAACTGTGTGTCAGTTAAGCCTCTTTTCTTCATGAATTACTCAGTCTCAGGTAGTTCTTTATAGCAATGTGAAAGTGGACTAATGGGTACAATGGGTGCAGTAACATCTCAGACTTTAGCACTATAAAATTCGTCTATGTAACCAAAATCTACTTGCAGCCCCAAAGCTATTGAAATATTTTAAAAAGATTAAGGTTAGCACCATCACTAATAAGACATATCAACATCAAGAACCCCTGACACAATGCATTGATAAGGATGGTATTTGGGGTGAGATTTTCCTGCCAAAAATTGTATAACCTGAATCTAATTATGAGATAACAGCAGACAAATCCAACTGGAGAGACATTTTACAATGCAACTCACAAGGAAAGACTAAGACTAGAGAGAACTAAGGAGACAGGACAACTCAATGCAGTGTGAAATTCTGGATTGGATCCTGAATCTGGAAAAGAACATTAATGGCACAATTAGTAAAATTCAAATTAGATCTCTAGTTTAATTAATAAAATTGTACCCACAATATCCTTGTTTTGACACTTGTACTACCATTAAGTAGGCTGATAAGAGGATGCTGGATGAAAAGGTATATGAGAACATTCTGTACTCTTTTGTGACTTTTCTGTAAATTTAAAATTACTTTAAAACAAAAAGTTGAAGAAAAAAGAAACCTAAATACCAAAGTTGTCAAATAAGTAGGAAAAAATATAAAAATAAAATAGTTCCTAGAATTAGACTCTTGAAATAGAACATGAGGGTGGCAGAGGAAAATGAACTTTACTGCTGAAAGATGTAACTGAAAATGTCTGTGCTACTCTTTAAATGAACTGTAGAAAATCATTCCATCACTTTTTAATTTTACTGTTTGGTTATTTAAGAATGACTCAGTATTTTGATTAAATCTTTACTTGGATTAATTTATCTCTTGATTTCTACTATAATCAACAGCAGGAAGTAAAAAGATACTTCAAGGAAGCAGATTGCTTTTCAAGCAAAGTACTGGGCTTCTTCAAGGGAAATATCCTCAGTTTCATGTTCCAGTTGTTATCATAACATGTAGACAAGGAATTCTGAACTTGCAAACAAAATTATTTAGAAAAAGAAGCAAATTAGAGTTTTTGCTTCATGAGCCATTGTTTCTCTCCAAGAAGTTTTGAGGTTTCAGGATATTTAGTTGATATTGGAGATAAGATCAATCATTTATTAAATGAATAATATTCATTAAATTTTTGTTACTTAGTATTTCATGTATTCCTAGATGTTAAAGAAAAATATACATAGCCTGGGATAAGCGGAAAAATGACACACTATCACATGTTTTTTCTTAAATATTTTATTACTGTATAGAAAATGTAAAATTATAGGAAGTAATAACATCAAGTTTTCCCAGCAGTTAAGGGTGGGTAGCAAACAACTTGGGTTGTGGTCACCATAGTGACCTTATACAATAACAATGAAAAGAATTTCTTGATTTCTATAAGAAGCCTTCTACTTTCCAAATCTTCTTGCCATGGTTGCTGGCAATTGAATGGCTTTACTAAGGAACAAGATTTTATTTCCTAATTATCACAAATCAGAGAAAAATAAATAAAATACTTAAATTATACCAAAGAATACGTGACTAATAGCAGATCCTATTTTCCAAGATGACCATGAATGTAAGAGAAACACAAAAGATAACAGGTACATTATCTTTTAATTAAAATATTGATTATTTATTTCTTTAAATGCTTATCTGACAAAATGAGAAAAAAAAGATAGGGAAAATAATAATAATGAGTTCATTTTTACTGAGTTTTTACTCAATTACCAGGCATTATTGTTCTAAACACTTTTAGGCATGAGTTGATTTAATCTCCAAATAATGCAAGGGATAGGCATTATTATCCCCATTTTGCAGATGAGTAAACTGAGGAAAAGGGAACCAATAAAACTGGGATTAAAAACTCGATTAGTTTTTAGTACCTTGAAGGAGGTCAAAATAATGCCTTTATTCCTGAAAGTAGGAGTGTTGCCAGTTACCTAAGTGTTGTCTTTCTTCTTATTTTGAAATAGCATATTTCTAAATGCACGTGCTTGTTGTAGAAGTAAGTTAAATTCTCTAGAATGCATTGGTAAATCAATGATTATTGAGAAATTTGTGTCACTGATACTATAATCCCAATGTAATCCTTTCAATCATGGGCCTTACTTCCAAAATAATATAACAACTAGATATGCTAGGAAATATTACTAGAGAAAAGGACAAATAACATGCATAGAAGAGGTCAGAGTTATGGTTTATAGAAACCACATAACTTTCTGGGGCACATGCTTCTGTGAGACAGGAAGTCTAATTTCTTATACACGAATCTATCATAGATTTTTTTTTAAGTTTCGAGTGCATCATATCCATTAGCACAACAGAAAAAAAATAGATGGAAACAAGGTAAATGTAATCATTTAAAATCTTATATTAGTAGATAGAGCAGATTTGTTACACGAGACACTAAACAGAAGGAACAGGGAATACAGAAGCAAAGCAAGTTAAACAGAGAAGACCAACAAGCAATTCAGAATGGCTAGAACACTAGAACTAGGCATAGGAGAGTTAGATGAGACTGTATGGGCTCTGCAGGAGACTGATCTTAAGGAGTTAACGTAAAAAGGGGGTCTAAATATACTTGTGTGTGTATGTGCAGTGTGTGTTGTAAACAAGGAAGAACCATCAAAGAATTTTAAAACAAGTGCTGCCAAGTTTCTATCTCAGTAAGCTGTAGCTTTAGCATGAAGAACAGAGTAAAGGTGTGGAAGCATGGAGTTGGATAAAGAGTTCACCCTAACAGGAAATGATGGTGTGTTTTTGAGGGATTCATGTGAACAGAGTGCTATATAATCAGATAAATATTGCACATTGTAAACTCTGGGGGAAAACCAATAATGATAGAGCAGACTAAAGAAGAAGAATCTTATGAAGGAGTTTGAGAGGGGAGAAAAAAGGATGAAAATGAAAAGAGGAGAACCAACAGAGTAACTCCAGGCACAAGCCAGTGGTTTGGATTTTGACATTCATATAGGAACAGTGGATGATGACTTGAGCCTACATAGCATAGGGAATCAGAGCTGAGATCCTACAAACTGCAGGGCTCTAGAAAGGCTATATTCTTAGAGGAAAAAGTGACTATGATAAATAATCTCTTGTACAGTTCAAGGAAGTGACAGAGTTACTACTGTCTCCTAGCCATGTCCCTGGTGACACAACAGTCTCCTCTAAGAATCTTAAACCTTGGGCCTAACACCATATGGAATTTTTTTTAATAGTGTTTATTTTTTGGAGCAGTTTTAGGTTGACAGCAAATTGAGCAGAAGGTACAGAGATTTCTCATATACTTCCTGCCCCAGACATGCACAGCCTGTGCCACTGTCAACATTTCATGCCTGAGTAGTACATCTGTTACAACTGATGAACCCACATTGACACATCATTATCACCCCAAACCCATATTTTTTCATTAGAGTTCACACTTGGTGTTGTACCTCCTGTGGGTTTAGACAAATATATAATGATATTACACCTACCATTGTAGTACAGTACAGAATAGTTTCACTGCCCTAAAAATCTTCTCTGTTCAGACTGTTTTTCCTTTTTCCTCCAGTCCCCTGGAAATCACTGCTCCTTTATTATCTCCAGAGTTTTGA